AATGCGAACTCACAATTAGAAACAAAGAAAAACAAATATTGGGGAAAGGAATACACTCAACATCACAGATGATCCGTTTCGCCCATAGACTTCCCGAACGAGAGAGAGATAGAGAGAGCGAGCAGAGAAAAACACAACTTTGACGCGTAAAAGGAATTGAGCTCAAGTTGTCCGTAGACCGGGGTGGGGTGTATGTATAAGGGGGAAAGTCTGCGCGGAAATACGGAAGAGTCGTGGGATTGTTTCGCACTGGTCTCAGACCTCCATTTCACGACTCTGCCCCTTTTTGGTCTGGACCCTGGTCCCTGTTGCAGCCATGCCTCTCGGTGCTTTCAGATGTGGACTGTGTGGTTCTAGGCTTCAGATGTAGAAAAAGAATTCGTACTTGTTGAGTGCGAACTTGACTCTTCTGAAGATCATTGATTCTTCACGTTGTCGTGGTTTGTAACGTTCGTCGCTGAAACGAGGAAAGTTTGAGAGAAGTCGAATTTTGTCGAAAATCACATTTTGGCAAATGTATTGAGGATCGCAGTAGTTCGTTTCTTTTAGTAGCACAGCCCACGTTGGTAGTGTATATGGGTGGGGTCGGGCTGACCACATTGGCGCGCACCTCTTCTTGACGATTTAGGAGAGTAGTGCCACAGTGAGGAAGGCGTCACCAGAAGGGAAGGGCTCGACCCCAGACTGCTCCCCAGTGTTCATGCTGCCAGACGAATTTGTTGGCATTAAACCAAACTAGAAAGAGTGGAAGGCTTGGTATGCCGTCTTGGGTGCCAATCCGAGATTCGATCCTCAGTCTGTCGCGACTTTCGACTTTAACACCTTCGCCCGTGAAGTAGTACAGGAACCAAAAACACCCATGTTTTCTCCGAGTTTGCCACGCCTAACAATTTTTCGGTCAAGTATGGTATAAATTCTCACTTACTCTTTAACCTTGACGTTTTTACTCTTACGAATGGAAGCTCCAGTGGAAAATACTGGAGTGTTTCCTGTTTCAGCTCGAGAATGTGGCATCATAACTACCTCAGACACAGAACTGGCCAACCTGCAACAAAGCTATATTTTAGACGTGAAGCTTCTGGGTGTTCCGAAGAAATACTCTTACTTTACGTGACTAACAGATCCTTGCGGTACATTATTAGGAATACGTGACGTTTCTTCAGAGTAGAGTGGATGAACGGAGTCCCAAAAGGGATCACGGCGTAGTTCCGGGGGACGATCATATCCTTGATCGACTATCATCATGCCCATCTGAATATTTAGCCTTTTTGTAAGATCTGGGGTCGTAAGTGTTGGGCCTGAATAGGGTACTGCGCCGAGGATGGTACGTTTACACTCTGTACGGATTCTGTTGGACACACAGTCTTGTTCGCTGCGGATGACGGGGCGTGCGAAGGGGATGGATTTAGCGCGCCGCCAGCCCCTTCTCCACCACTTGTTGAAGCGGGTCAACGACCAGAACTGGTGGAAAACGACCGCTACTGGTGCTATAACACTGGCGCCGTACCAAACCCATCTTGACATGCTCCATCATAAAGTTGACCCGCTTATCTGGTGCTATGTAGCGATCTGGCGCCGTACCAACCATCTGACAGCTACATCAACACCAGCCGCCCAAAGTATACAGAGGGGGCGTTAGTCTAAGAAACACACTTTCTTCCCACGACTCTCAATGGCCTATATACTTTACACTTTAATTCAAATCGATTGTACATATCCACTATCATCTTCAGCTCAAACATTGCATCACTATGCCCCCGCAATCAGCTTCTAGACGAGCGCTATCGAAGAGAGCTGCCACGTCGACCGTCAGTGATGCGTCGTTCAGCGAGAGTTGGATTCTCGCCAGCTAAAGCCACTGTGAGCCTAGTCTCCGGACCCGGTAATCGAGGAGGTTTAAGGCAGGTGGCACACTTGGATATTCCGTCTTCTTCTCGTCTTCTAGATTCTCAACGCCCTTCGATTCCATGTGCTGGCACCCAATCCTGTAGTACGAAGTTTCCAAGATGGTACAGGCGACGACATGAAGGCAGGATATTCTCCTCGAGCTGTTCGATGTAAAAGTCAGCGTTCACTTTCAGTCCGGGGTCCACGAAGAAAATATCGGTCTTCCATTCCAGGAACTTCCGGTCCATACCATCAACTCGCGCCTTGGCGACTGCGGTGAAGATGATATCCTGGACCGTAGCGACGTTGTCGGAGCTGCTCAACAGTGCTGGTCCCCAGGTAGCTGTCCATGGGTTGCTCCATACAAGAAGTTTCGCAGCTGTTTGGAGGTGACGTGAATTCCATAGGCCTTCTCCAGTCCGGCTGCGATTGGAGATGACTTTTTGGTGTACATGAAGGTGATGGGCGAGAGCCAGCTCCTGCTTATCGAGGAACATCGGTATCTTCCGCCCTGGTACTCGTATCCACGTCTTCTGTCTGGGCTGCGAAAACTTTACTGATATGTGACTCGGCCAAAGTGTCTTTTTTTTGCTGCCCCCTGTATTTACA